AAAGGTAGATAAAATGAAACAATAGTATTAAAGCAATTCCAAAAACACTAATAGAAAAGAACAATAACAAGATCAATGCAACAATAGAACAATTGCTAAAAAATAGATCAATGAGAGAATAAAGGAAAAAAAAAAAAGAAATAACTAGATTAGAATACATAAAAGAATTAGAAATAGAACTAATTAAAAAACAAAAATTCAAGAAGGAGATTACAACTTACTTAATAGAAGCTCTTATAAGAAACAAAGACAAGTATACCTATTATACAAATAGTGCATTATTTAGAGAAAGAAGTGGAAATAGTCTAGGAAAAATGGGTATAGGTTAAGTACAAGTTGAAAATGAAAGAAATTAGCCAGAAGAAAAGATAGCACTAAAACTTGAAGGTTGACTATCAGTAACAACAGCTAAACTAGCAGCAATATGGTTAGCAATTTTAATAATACCAAAAAAGAAGACTATAAAAATATATACAAACAGCCTAGTAGCATTAAGAAATATTAGCAGAGCAATTCAAGACACAGATAATGTCAAAGTTCTGAAAAAGAAAAACACAATATGGCTAATAAATATTATAAATCTAGTCAAAAGCAAAAACATCAAAATAGAACTAGTTAAAGTCAAAAGCCACAATAATGACAAATAGAATAACAGAGCAAATATATTTATGAAGAAAGAAGTAGCATGTGATAAAATAATATCTGTAAAGAAGGTTAAGTGCAAAAGAATAGAGTACCACTTGAAATAAAAAAACAAAAAGTTGATATACCAACAAGACTTCTTTGCAAAATAGTAACAAATATCAGAATTGGAGCCAGTTGAAGAGAAACAAACCTAATCTGAACATTAGAACCAGAAACAGAAAATATGCAACATAATTGGTCAAGTTTTTGAAAAGAAATAAATAAAACAAAAGGTGTACACTATATAACAAGAAAACTTAGTACTAGAAAGGCAACAGCAATTAAATATATAATAAACAGTCTACCAATACTAGAAGAGTTAAATAGAAGAAGACCAGAGATTTATATAGTAACAGACTGTCAAGTTTGTCAAAAAGGTAAAAAGGAAACTCAAGTATACTTAGCAAGCTGCAGTGAACAAAAAAGCTTGTAGAAGAGGATTCAAAAAGTAGCAACAGCAATGGTATAGAACAGTCTTAAAGAAAGTGAAAAAGACAGAATTCCATTTTTAGTTCTATATGAAGCATTATTTAGGAAAACAAAAGCAGAAAAAATTATGGACAGAAGGTCAATGATAAAAGAACTAGCTATGATAGATGTTGAAAAAAGACTTGAACAGATTCTAAGTAGACAAATGACACAAAAATGCATAGATATAGTAACAAGAACAGCATAGAATATATTTTATGATCAAATATGAAGAGTTTGATATAAAAAAGTGCAGAAATGAAAAAAAAATCAATATAACAAGCAAAATAAAGAAAAGTGCTCATATAAGAAGAAAATCAAAAAAAAGAACAAAGAAAGACAAGCTGGCAAAGAAAGAAAAAAAGAAAAAAAAACAGAAAAACTGAATCGATGAAGAAAGAAGCTTGAAAGACAATTGATATGCTTGTTACAAAAGAGAAAAGACTCTTCTGATATAGTTTTAAATAGTTAAATGAGCAGTCTATCTCTAACTGAGATAGTGCAACAGATTGCACTTAGGTACCAATTAGATGGCTAAGTGATGCTAGACTTAGGTATTAGAAAATTCTATGTAATTATAAAAATATATAGTTTCAAAAATCTTAATAAAGTACTAGTGTACTGCTTAAGGTTAAAAAAAAAAAATAAAATAAAAATATGTGTTAGATTTTTATCAGAAGTTATAGATTATCTAAATAATTATCTCACATGTCTTATTTGAAAACCAAGATCAAAAAAGTAAGGGCTTGAGTCTGTAAAAGCCATTATATTGGAACAAGTAGAATCTAGACTATCTACAAAATATAAGCAACCATTTGTAAAAGATAAAACAAAGTTAAAAAAAAATGTTACTTACTTGCTAATGCAGAATGAGAAAAAGGTATGAAAGTAATCCACAGAAGTACAGACCTAGTATGGTTACCAAGTCTTTATAAAATCCAAAAAATTGTTATAATAAAGAATAAACTAGTTTTATATTATCTCAAAAGTAAAAACAATGAATTTGCTTCAACATGTGGATTTGTGCAAGAAGAACTCATATTAATAGATGATCTAGAAAATGTTAAACACCTATCCCAAAGTATATTATCTATGCATTTTGTCTGTACTTCTAATAATGAGATAAATTAAGCTCAAATTTATACAGAGAAGTGTAGTAGCCAATGTCTTGGAAAAACTGACCAGATATATAGACATAGTATCTATCTCTAGTCTTGTAAGAATAGTGCATATCAATGTGAATATTCATTAAAAATATATTATAAAAAAATTCAAATAGTGCTCTCTATGTTATTATACTACTGAAAGAGCCTGTTAATACATTTTTGAAGACCTGCTGAATAAGAAATTTCTATTTTGTATATTATCATTTTTAGATGGGATGCAATTAAATTAGTATAATGAAGAGCTAAAATTGGCATTTGAATTCTATGGCATTCAACATTTTTGTATTATTCCAAAACACTTTTATCCTAATAGTGAGACTAATTTAGATGCATAAAGAAAGCATGATCAAAAAAAGCAGAATATATGTAAGCAAAAAAATATAGATTTTATTGAAATTCTGTATACATATGATCTTTTGTCTTATATCAAAAGTAAATTGCAAAAGAGAGGTTATTTATTGTATAAAGAATAAATTTATAAAGATTATTATTTTTTAATATAATAATTTAACATTACTTATCTTAATTAGGATGAAAAATAAAGGCATGTCCATATATATATATAATATTAATGAGATATCTAAAAAATTATTAAAATAAATAAAAAGTAATAAGTATTTGCCAAACTGTCTATTTAGGATGCTCATAAATAGAAGCTTCAATAGCAGAAAAACTAATATAGAAATAAATATCTTGCTTAGTAATAAACTACTACAAATGTTTAAAGATAAAAAAAGAAGCCACTATATCAAAAATAATGATTTTGTATTAATAAGTAAGCATTTTGAGCCAAAATGGTAATTAGCAAAAGATTTTTATCAGATTTTTACAAATAGCCTAAAAAAGTATTGAGAAGATGTTATATTTAAAAAATTAATACTAGATAAGATTCCAGATATTACTTAATTCTCTTCAGAATGAAGTACAGTTGTTGTTTTTAAGAATCTATATGCTAAATCAAAAAAAATGCAAGAACAAATTATTTCTTATTTCATTAGTAGTCAGCATCAAAATGTTTTATTTATATATGTAAGCCAGAAATATACACAAACTTCAAAATTATTTATGAAAATATTTTACATTTATGCCTATTTCAAGACTTAGGAAGTAAAGACAATATTAGTAAAATCATATACCAATATACAAATAATCTAAAAAAGGCATTCAAAATTATTAACAAGCATTTGTGAAATCAGAATTTTATTGTTTTTGATTTTACTAAGCCAATTTATAATTTATTAGCAATTAGACTAGATTAGAATATGCTTTTAAATTAGATGAGTAAAATTTCTTCTGGGCCAATTACAAACAAAAGTGCTATGCATTAGTTGTTCATTATTTTTCTAATGCTATTCTTGAAATTTCAATTAGGAAATATAATTTATATATTAGTATTTACTTGCAATATATGTAAGAAAGAAATAAAAATCTATAAAGTATATATTTATATTTTTTTTAGCTATAAATTTGAATTGAGATATTCCTTAATATAGATTATTAAAGAATCACTATAAATTGCTAAAAATACTATAAATTGACAAAAAACTAATTTGTTAATAAATATGACTGATACAATTATTATTAATAAGATTTATAATAAATTTGTATTCAAATCTGTTAAACTTTTTTCAAGATATGATTTGAATTATGTAATAAAGAATTTAGTATAAGGTAGTTATTATAACTATAATCATGTTGAAAATATATGTAAAATAGAAAAAAAGTATAATAACTTAGCTATTATTAGACCTTACAAAACACTTCAATAGTGGGTTATACAGAATACTTTAATAATTTAACATGTTTTATGTTTGAATCAGATTTACAAATTTAGAATAACTGTTATAATAATTATTACCAATATAACAAATAATGTTAATTAAATATATAGCATTATATTTTTTACCAAATTTGATTTTTATTATCAAAAATAACTTTACAGCTATTAGTAACTTATTTTGATATTAATCTATACTATTATATGACTTAATGGTCCTACAAGTCTGTTTTTATTTAATAGCAATTACTTGATATTCAGATTTATTAGTTCAAATAAGTGATAAAACCTTAACTGGCTTTAACAATCAATGGCCTGCATTAAATTTTATATAGTGTTACCTAATACATAATTACTTTTTCAACATTGATTTTTTTTATTAATATTAACTATTTTACAAATAGTTAGATTCTTTTTTTATTATACATATATGATTCAGCAATAAAAATAAACTTTAAAAAGACTATAAAGATAAAGAGTACAATGTTCTTAATCAGTAGTTTTACTAAAATTTATATATTACAAGAACTTCAAATTTTCATCATCTTCAAGATCTAGTCTATTTTGAGCAATTGGCAAAATCCAATAGATCAAATTTTAACTAAAAAAATAGTCAAATAGATTTAGCATTTGGGACTTGTAATTGAATAGACTTGCTTTACATAGTGGAATCTAGATTGTATTAAAGTAATATAATTACTAATTATGTAGCTTTTTTTTTTGGTAGCTTTTTAGATTTAATAAATGAACAGTATAAAAAAAAGCAAGTTTTCATTGTAAGATAAGTTAGCAATAATGTTTTTTTTTGCTTATATATATTTTTACTTGATTTACTTAGTCTATATTTTTTAAAAAAAGTAATTTATATTATTTCATTTTATGAAAACTATGAAACCAAATTCTACTTAATATAATCTTTTTTTATTTAGAAAAGAAAAATGAGTACTAATAATACTATTATCAAGAACAAAAAAAATAAGACTCTCAGGATCAGTAATAGCAATGTCTCCAAGACCAATGATAATAACATCTTCAAGAAAAATAATAATAACACTTCCAAGAACAATGACAATAATGCCTTCAAGACCAATAATAATAACACTCTCAAGAACAATAATAATAATGCCTCTAAGAATGATAACAATAACACCTTCAAGACCAATAATAATAATACTCAAAAGAAGCTCTATACTTGTAAATAAAGTTTACATTGTATAAATATTCTACAAAAATAATTTTTTCAAAATATAAGTATCTAAAACTTAGTTTTTTTTTCTATTCAAACTAGATGATATCTATGATAAACTGATTTTATATTACTATAGAAATAATAAGAATAACAATTCTATTAGTAGTTATATTCAACTGGTAATAATAATTGTGATAATAATAATTACCTTCTCTAATATATAATTGGAAAAAAAAATTATTATTTTATTTATTATATAATAAAAATATATATTTTTATTTGTTTGATATACTGTTATTCTGGCAACAAATTTTTATAAAATAAAGAGTCTGGTGCTTTTATCATTTTTTATTTTTATATGATTGTATAAATAAGTATTGGTTATTATTTATACTGTTGTTTCAATTCTACTCATAATTTTTATTGTCTTTTAAGGCACACCTTTGGTGCTAAAATTAATAATTTTATTTGTCAAACTCTGACCTACTACATAATAAGGATTCTTTTGCATTTATCTAAGTCTGCAAAGTGATTAATAGCTTCTTTTAATTAGAGTGAAAAGAACAGTTAAGAAAATAATAATTATCTTTACTTGAACAGCTCCAATCACCTCACATGCCTAAATGTATATATATATCTTTGCATATTAGACATTTAGCATCTAAATCAGTATATTTAAACATATTTTGGTATCATATATTCAAATGAATATATGTCAAAAAAGAAAAGCATTTATGTACTGTTTCAATAATTATACTTTGTTCTTCTAAAAATTTAGAAATTTTGATAATACAATTTTATGAAATATAATTATTGCTATTTTTGATTTGAGAGAATTCAGAAATTTCAAAGTTTATTCAAAGATTGAGTTCAGTTTTTTTTTGTATCTTTTATATAATTTAAAACAAATATTATTTGTTAAAGGGCTTAGCAATTCTGTTAATTTAGTTTCCTATTCCAAATACTCAGGAGTTAATGTTTTATTAGCTTTTATCTATATATTCATATTGCTATTAAATTAACAATAGCCAACAAAAATAAATATAGCTCAGAATCTTTTTTCTCATAAATTCAAAAAAAAGTAATTAGCTTCTGTTTAAATGTAAGTACATATAGTGATTACTTACTTTTGGCTTTGAACAAATATTGTAAGAAAGCAAGGTTTATGCTGTTATCTTAATTTTAATCTCATGCTGTTTACATTTAAGATTATAAGATCCAATTTTATATCTGCCTTCTATACCATTTTTATCATTATAATCTGACTTGCATAGTGAGCATAAAGATTCATCAGTAATTCCATAATAATTATTATTTCTATTACTATCTTCTCAACATAAATTAGGATATTGCTTTAATATTTTTTTATAGAAATAAGCATGACTATAAGGTGGATTGGCTGAAATATTTATCTTAGTTAAATTATGTAAATTTGTTTCTGATAAAGAATTATTTTCACAGTCAACATCATTATTATCACTAACAAAGTAATTTTTATTATCATCTTTATTATTATTATTAGCATCATTCATATTCTCTTTATTAATATTATAATTATTATCATCAGAAAATTCTAAGTTATAATCTGAAGAATCATTGAATATATTTGTCTGTATCTTAGTTGATTCTTCTTGAATCATTTCTGATAATTTCAAATCTTGATTGTTTTTTTGAGATGGTTTAATAATATGTGCATAAAAATTCTTTATACCAACTACTTTTTGATATTCTATTTTTTCAGAAAAAAACTTTATGTTTGGATTTGAATACTCATTAAACTAAAAATAGGATCAGCATTATATATAATTTAGTTGATTTTATCTATTTCTATTTCTTTGAACAATGTATAAATATTTCTAGTCTTTTATACAAATACTTTCTTTTGATGTCAGAAAGAAATAGTTCTATTTCATTATAAATTTGTGTTCTTGTTATTTGATTATTAATTTCATTTTTTAAGCTAATATCTCTGACTTTTTTTTTGAATTTCTCATTATAATAATACCAATATAAAATTTCTTTCTATTTAGTTTTTTTAATTTTGTCAAATAAATAAGCTAAATGTGATGCAGAATCTAGAATTAAATTATCTTCATCTAACATATTTTCAAGAATTTGTTTATCAAATATAGTATTTCAAAGGATTTTTTTATTAATAAATATATATAACTCATATATTAAACCTTATTCAACTTTTTGATTATAGGGAATTTTAATTTTAGAAGAAATATTACTTTGTATTTGACTAATCAGGTTTTCTGAAATGTTTTGATCGATTTTGAATATAAAGTTCTTTTGTATCAGTTCTTAATTTCAGAAAATAGATATTTTATTATTTCATAATAATATTTTATTCTGGTTTTTCACTTCTATTTCATTTCTAATCTGTTTTTTATACATCTGTTTCAGAAATTTGATCTCTTTATTTTCAAAAGATACATCAGAATTTGGAGCATTATTGAGTTTATTTTCAGATAATTCTAAAAAAACATTATTAGTTATATCAGATATCAGAGTATCCTCAGTTTGTAAGTCCATCTGTTCAGAGATATCATTAGAATTTTTCATTTTGGTAAAGATAGTTTTAATTGTAAATTATTCAATTCCTCTGATATCTTTATCTGATTTAGATATGGAAGCATCATTACTTCATAATACATTAAAGTTGCTCTTTTCTTCATTATTTTGAGACTGGTTTTGTTCCAATTTCACAATTCTAACTTTAAATTTAGTGGTTTTTTTTACTATCTGAACTATTTTGATATTGAGATCAAAATCTCTTAATGTCACATTTTCAATATTTTTTTTTGTGAATTGTTCAAATTTCATGATTCTAACTATAAGCAAATCCTTCTTCTTTAAGTTCTAGAATTTTGACATTTTCCTTTTTGAGTCTAGTAATTTTAACATTCTCTTTTCTAAGTTTATCAATTTTGACTATAAGCCTGAAATTCAATTTCTTCAATAAATCAATTGTAGATTGTGTGCTTGTTATTGTTTTATTTAAAATATATATATATTCAATAGTTTGTTTATTCTCTGTATTTAGCAAGCTCGAAACCTGAATATGGTTATCTAGTTTATGTATTTCACCTATGTATTTGATTAACTTATTGTCATAAATGCAGAATTATTTAGAAGGTTTATAAAGATTATCATATGCAAATTCTGACATCTTTTGAAATATAACTAGCATGCCCGTGATGCCCATCATGAAAAAAATTCCCTAACACACACTAACATATCAAAAATCTTGACATGTAAAAAAATTGCATTAATACACCTCTGCTTTATTGATTGTATACTGTAAAATTGAAAAACAAATCTATTGTTCTATACTATTGACTACAGTATAAGTTTTTCATTTATAAACAATCCATGCCAGAGTTGGGAAACTTCGTTTAGTACACTTAAGAATTAAGTGAATTAAGTGTCAAATCATTACAGCTTATCATAAATGATTGTGCTAATTTTTTATTTTTGATCTATTATTGTAGCGAAGGATAAGTAAAAGGCTACACAAAAGTCACGTTTTTGTCTGTCCGATTTTTAGATAATGATATATTAGATAAGGAATAAACCCGTAAAATTCGCGAAAATCCCAATATCACATGATAAAATTTTGCTCAACGTTAAATAATTCCAATACGCGTTCTGTTCTATGGGTCTGTCCGCGATGTCAAAAATGCATAAATACTTCGATTGCAAATGTAATAAATGGAATATAGTCGGATTTTTAAATGAATGTGATATCGAGCCATTTGATAAAAAAATCGACGAATACCTTAAAAGCCTTGAAAAGATTGATAGGGAGGAAGGAAGGAGGCAAAAAAAAGCACATCAACTCCTTGACAGATATCGAAAGGCGCGTAAAAACTTTTTTAGCATGGGTAGAAAATAGTGGTGTGACGATCGTAGGCTTCCTCGGCCTTTCGTCATTCAAGGCTCTTCGCTGAGCCACAAAACCGGTGTTAGAGCGCCAGTGACTTCCTCGGTTACTTGCTGTTCAAAGGTTCCTCGCCAATTCTAACACTGGGCCCATTGGGGTTAGGTGACTTCCTCGGTTACCTGATACTCAAATGGGATGAAATTGAAGCATAAGCAATAATTACTAACTTCCAAATTTTCTATGCTAGAATCCTAGACCAGATTATAAAATCGCAAAATCCTGGGAAAAGGAACGTACACGCAAACAAGTTCACCTACACTAACCAATAAGTGGAACTGTAAATGGGTCAATTAACACAGTTAACGGAATGATGAATGGGGGGAAACTTGGAACCATCAACGAACAAGAAAATCCTCCACTCAGAAGGACACCGAGAAAAATAAATAGAGGAATTTACGCCGAAAACTCAAATAAAGTGAATAATACCAGCAAGCGAACCTACAAAGAAATATCAGATGAAGATCCTGAAGTACGTAAAATACTGTTAGCCAATATTTTCCGTTTCACCTATATCTAATTTTCAATATCTAGGTTAATGATGATGATGATGATGAGATTGACGATGAGATCGATGAAGACGACAACGAAGATGACTGCGAAGATGACGACGAAAATGACTACGAAGATGACGACGAGAATGAAGATGAGGATGTCGACGAAGATGACGACGAGAATAAAGGCGAAGATGACAACAAAGACAAGAAGGCCAAGGAGAGAAAGAAGTTGGAGAAAAAGTTGATTGATGATTTTATTTCGAGATTTAAGGCGATAAATGCGGACGACAAATGGAAACTTCCTTCGGGCAGATTTGTTGAAGACGTCTTATATGATTGGGCAGTGACCCACCGTTCTGAAACGTAGATATACTGCATTCATTGCATTGATCATACTGGTTACTAAATATATGTGTAATGACTAATCATTTCTTTATCTAAATATTTCATTAAGACTTGCACACTCATTTATATTAGATACTGATTGTCAGGAAGTTATGGATTTGTTTAGTCCTGAGGAAAAGGAGACAATTTTAAATACTAATAAAAAGTTTTTTCCGGCCGTACAAGATGATATCAAAAAATATGTCATGAAATATTACAAGGTATTCTGTTTGATAAAGATTGACCGAATTGAGACATTTATTCATACATCTTCTAAACCTCCATAGAAGAATGTCGACGATCTTCGAGAAACCGTCATGGAACCATATTTGAAAAATGGGGAGACCTATAATTCAAAATTACATTATGATTTGGAGTGGATTCACTTAGTGTTCAATAAATTGTGGGTTAACTCATCATTTATACAATATTTCAATCTGTGACTGATTGTTTTTCTTTATCAATGTAGTGTTATTGAATGGGAGCAAGGTGTGAATGCGTTAGCAGAGGATAATTTAGAAGCATGGATTGTAAGTCATGTATGGACTTTTATTGTTAATATGGCATTAAAGGACATTGAAGAAACAAAAATTGGAAAGTACGCCATATATTCAAACAGAAATCGTTGCTATATTCTTATAATATTGGTTAAGTACGTTTTTATTTTTACAGATCAGATGGTGGTTCGTTTGCATCAAAAATGCGCAAAAACAAAAAAAGAAAAATTGGAAAATCCATTATTCGTGTAATGAGCCTTTAAAACTGTAATATTATAACATAAGATAATTCGAATTAATTTCTTTTTCAATATTAATAGGGCAGGAAGATCGACATATTACTAAAACTTCGTAATAGCTCAAGAGAAATACTTGCTGGAGAGGTAGCCAGAACAGGAGACATTCACGATAAAAAATATTTAGGAGATAGAATAAAACTATTAAAGCTTATGAAAGATATGTTTGATACGATAATTGAATCGCTTCCGCCAACTACAATTGAAAATTACGAGAGTCTTTGTACATTTGGAATACAACTTTTTAGTAAGTGAACGTTATCTATATTTATGATATATTGATCGACTTTGTTATTAATTTTTATAATTACTTAGAAAATAAAGGCACTGTTTACATTATGGATCGCCCTGAAGGAATGATTTCGCGATTAACTAAAAAAGCACAATTAGAAGCCCCTATATACATTGAAGGTATTCGCGAACTAATTTTGTCTATAATTACAATGTTGGAATTGAAGGTAATACTTTATTATTGAGCTATACATTTCTAATACATGTGTATTTATCTGCTTTTGATATCTTACAGAATGCAATTCGAGGGATCATCCAAAAAATAGAAAGCGACGAATTAGAAGTTCAAGTTTTTCAAAGAAATAATACAGGTGTTCGATTACCACTTGTAGGAACTACACCAACTCCTCGGACCTCGCTTGTAAAAAAATAAAAAGTATTAGTAGTGTAATCAATAAAGTCATGTAATAATTGGATGTGCCTGCTTGCTGTTATCGCGACAAATGAATAATTGTGCTCTGTCAGATAAAATCACGTGTGCGTGAAGATTCTTCACGCCAATCCCTGATTTACTTTACAATTGAGATCGTCAAAATTAGCACTCATGTGCTAGCATGGCTAAGGGGTTTGTTCAAGAAAAACGGCAGAATAGATTCAGTTTGGAACTTAAGACCGGGCAGAGTTGTTGTACAGAGGAAAAAATTTGGCGCTAGATTCGGTAACATAATTACTAATCGCGTAACTACTCTTTTTTCGATGCGAGTCATTTCATGAAACAGGTATAAATAAGTGGTTTTTGTCTCGTAAAATAGGTAAACAATAAAGTTTTCTACTTGTACATTGTTTCGAGAGCAAAAAAATGTGCTTTTTACATCAAAAATTTTTACAATAGAAGTTGAGACATGTATTTTCACGCAGAGAAATTCACGAGTTATCGAGCCATGTAAGGCTAAAAATAAGACTTAATACTCCGTCGTACATGCATACTTTGTACGCATTTAGGCCAAATTAGAGTGTCCAGGGGGCTGCTGCTTTAACTGCAAAATTCTGCTGTGATTACCGTTAAATTTGTGAATTCTGCGGTGACGTTAATAATACTTTAAAAATCAAATTACACAACATAAAGAAAATTCTAATCTTACCTAATTTTATCACAATAGGCTAAAATGAAAATGGCATAACAATAAGCCTTGTTATACAGATAAATTTTATATACGGAAATTATGTATGAACGTAACAAATAAATTTGTTTAAACTATCGTTACCAAATTGTTAATCCATTTATTTTTAATTATTCGAGAATTTTCACATTCACATCGCTTATATATTCCATCCACTACCATTTTGCATGTTTTACAATATAGATGTGAATGGTGATTACATTCGTCACTACTGCTAAAACTAACTACTTTCTTATTTCCCTCCTTTTCAACCCATTCGATGATTTTATCTATAGAAGTTGTTCTTGGCGATTTTTTGATGCCGATAAAAACTAGCTAATGTGCTAGCGCTAAGGCCGATTTCGATTGGGAGAAGGTCGTACATTTGTGTTGGAGAGCGACTTTTCTTTTTTCTCCTGTTATTAAAAAGGGCCGTAAATTCAACCCAGTATGTTTCATATTCCTCTGTATATTCGGAATATTGCCCATGGAAACGTGACTTGTGGAAGAGAATCGGTTTGATCCTGCTATAAGGCGCAGTATGGCGCAGATAAGTATATGCACATCAGATATTTTAATGCATTTAAGACAATAAAACTACCTTGAGATGCTGTATCGTTTTTCCATTCAACTTCTGTACGCATTCTTTCAAGCTCATTACTTAATGCTAAGATGGTTTTTTCGAGATTATTATCTCTTGATCCCTTTAGATATTTACGAAAAAAGATGATAGCAACGGCAAAGATTATATAAATGGTTATGTTTCCCGAAAAAATGCCCTGGATCATATCCATTGTTGGACACCACGGGTTACCATCTCAGAAAATGTAATTACAATGCCGAAGAGTATGATCAAAGAAATATCAGAATTTTGGATCATTGTGTTAGATTGTTTTTTGTTAACTTAGAATTACACGAAAATAATATTTATTTTTCACTTGAAGGAGAAAAAAATACCGATGCCTCTCTAGAAATAACCCTTTATATGTTTTATAATCACATAGTAAACCATAATTTAAGAAATGAATAATAATATATTTTTATTAATAACAAGCATATCTTACTGCATATTGAAATGGGAATTTAACCCGATTTAATTTGATGAAATCAGAATTACGTCGCTTGGTCTGTCAGGACCCTTTTTCCATAACTACATGTCTAATAATAAAGATAAGTTGTCACCGAGAAATATACTGTTTATTGCTAAGATCGCACAAGTTCTTGAAGATCGCTCACGTTTATTTACATGAATCACATGTTGTTTTAAACTCTTATTCGTACCCTATACAACTCTACTAATAGCCCAAAAATGGAATTTTGGTTTATTATGTAGAATGGTAGTACCTTTGGTTCCCTATTACATTTCACAGGATCGAGGTCTGTAAATCGGTAGATCAAGTTTCTCATTTCCCATTCTTATCCTATTCTAACATCAAGAGTGTCAGGTTAATCTGCATAATGCTAACTCAAAAATTCATAATATATGTATTATGCCAGAACCTTCGGGAAAAAAAGTTGACGGATTAATTACTCATTGATTGCGGAATTAATATCAAACGCGTCTTGATTTTTTGTGCACCAGAGTACATGCATTGCGGAATTAATATCACGATTTTTTGTGTTCCGGAGTATATTCATTGTGGATCAAAAAATCTTCCGAGCTGATGATTATACTCTGGGTCGATTTAATAACTATTTACTACTCTGGAGTGTTGGACTAGTTCGATCGGTAGAGTACTATTGCTTGGCCAAAGAGCATTATGCTAATTCCTGATTGAGAAATGCAGAAATAAAATTATTATTAGCTTCACAATCCTGTCTAAGAAAGTCACTAAATGCACCAATAAAATTGTTCAGGCTATCGGGTACGTCTATAATCATCGAAGGAGGTATATCATTATTATAGGTAACTTCATCCCCCGATTCAGTTTCAATATCAGAAGAATCGTTAGATGATTCCGTTTCAGTATAGTCCGAATCATAATATTCACTTAGACCATCGAATTCACGATTATGTTTGAAAAACTTGGTTATTATAACTTTCCCATCCGAATTAATTTCAGTAAAACTAGGAAATACTAATTCATAGAATGTATCTTACGAAGGAGATAGTATATCAATATCATTTCTTACGTAATAAAGTCTTTTCTCTTCATTATTTTTCCAATATCTTGCATCCCGTTTATCAATATCGTATCCCAACCCAGTTAGCCATGAATTACCTAAAACCAAATCATATTCAGGCTTGTCAACAACTACAAAAGTTGCTGTATCCGTTCCCAAATACGAAGGGGGTTTTAACCCATCAAATATATTTGGCAAAGAAACAGAAACATTTTCTCTATGAACCCACCCTCTTACCATCACTTTCTTGCCAGCATTTGTTGCATTAATGCCAAGTTCTACTACTGCGGGATATCTTGAACCAAATTCCCTAGAAATATATAAATCTATTTTTTTAGCAAGAGATTTACTGATACAATTATGCTTGGATTTAGGGTCAATCAATGCCTTAACAGATATTTTAGCACAAGTGAATGTACAATCTACTATTAATCTTCTGCGAATTTCTCGAATCACTTCATCTTTCCATATATTATTTATACTGCAACATTTTTTAAGATCCTGTATCGACAAATTCTTTAGAATAAAGGGTTTAATTCCGGTGCAAGGCGATCAAGTAAATGCATATGATATGGTTAGAAGATATTTCAATCAGAGAAAAATAAGATTAATATGCAGAACTTTATATGACCACTTCTCAGGTCAGATTTCTTCTAGGTTTTACCTTCTTATTGCCAGATTTTTTCTTCATGCACATTACTTTTCCTGAGTTCACTTTGTGAATCTTCTTTTTGGGGCCAATAGATCCTTTGCATGGTGTAAATCTGAATTGGATTCCTTGAATTTCTCTACTATTGTAATAGTTTCTTCAGAAGAACTTAACTTGGATGAATGCATTACTTTTCTTGAGCCACTCAATCTACTGGCAATTCTCAAGTTTATTAGCATTTTGATAATACTGATCTTGGGCACATTTCATTAATGTGCTACCTGGTTGATAAAGTCATTTTCTTACTATGTGTTGAATTATTTTAGCTAAATTTATTTGTTGTTAAATGATAATAGTCAGTTGATTTTTTTATATACAAAGTTTAAAATATGTTGTTTGGGTTTTAAATTCTCTAAATTCAAAGTTATTGGTTATATATTCTCTTCTGGTTAAATTATTTTTAATATGGAATACAAAGTTTCTCTAATAGTTCTTATTTTTTATTTCATGTTCTGATATAAATAAAGATCTATATATATATTCAGGCAGATAATACTTCACAAATCATAGTCAAGTTTCTGGTGTTTTTAAATTACTAATATAGTTTAAGTCATATTCAAATAACATATATCAGATATAACTATTTTTTTCTGATTTCTCAAAAATATCTTGAATATTAGATATATTTATATTTCAAACACATGAATTTTATTAACTAAGACTTTTATTCTTTTAGAATTTCACTAATATTATTTTTTTTTAAAAGTCTAGGTTTGAGAATTTGACCTAGTAGAATATCATCATATAATATAATTATATTATATGACAATATCTTAATTAAATTAGATTATATAATCTAATTGTCATCATATAGTTTGGAAATTGCTATATAATCTAAATATTATTATATAATATAATTACTATCATATAGTTAAGATATTGTTATATAATCTAAATAGCAATATATAATCTAAATATAAAGTCTAATTATCATTATATAATCTAAATAATGTAATATAATTACCACTATATAACCTATATACCTTTCTTATTTTATATTCTAACTATATTTTTAACCTTCTCCTACTATTCATATTTTATTATTCTATTATCATTATATAATCTAAATATCATTTATTATTTAATTTAACCACCTTCTTACATTCTAACAATTACTCTTTTCTTCTTGTTTCTAAGTTATTTACAGATTAATTTCTATATTATTGATACTAATCTTCTATATCTGATTGGATCCTGGGTTCTATATTAAAGGTGTGGGTTGTTTACCTCTTTGAATCACAAATTTTATACTAATAATATTGTCTCTCTGTATTTATTTAGATACTGAATTTTATATTGAGGTGTGTACCTTTTTGCACCTATTTAGTTGTCTGTTAAAATATCAAAATGTAGTAAAAAAGTATCATGTTAGGTGAGTTACTAAAAATTTATATATTTTAAGTTTTAGTCTTTGTTTTTGCATAATTACTATTTTGAAATATTATTATATCGATTGCTTTGAAGTATATTTATTACTTATTTATGACAATGTTTTGGCTAAAGCATCCTAGCTAAAATTTTAGTTAAGTGTCAAATCAGTAAATATTATTTATTTTTTCTTATATTTTTCCAAGCCTTTTTGTCTTTTTGACCTTTTTTCTGCCTATTACTGATAGGCCACTTAAACAGAATTTTTTTTTTCTTATATATAATTCTGCTTGAGTGATCTATCAAAATTCAAATATGTTAGTTTCTAGACCTTGTTCCTACATAATTACTACTTCAAAATATTATTATATCAATTGCTTTGAAGTATTATTTAGTATATTTATTACATACTTATGCTAGTATTCAGATTAGAGACCAAATAAAGCTTTATGTATTTTTATTTTATTTTTGAGTCATCTGACTTGATTGTTGGTATATAAAAAAATTAAAACCTATGTTCTGACTATATGGTCTCTTTAAATATAAGTCAGAATATGGTCATGTTTTCTTTTTACTAAAGTAGTAATGTAAAAAAAAAGATGCCAGAGATGGGATGTCTTTTTGATTATCAAGATAAGACATAAAATGCTAATTTTGCAATTCATTTTCTGTTAATAATATGTTAAAATCTATTTGTCATCTTTTGTTTATTACTAATACATATATAAAATGCCAATGTGGTAATATTCTTACCATTTTGTCTTTTCTGCACCTGTTTGCAGTATTGTCACAGGACAATTGTGAACATAAGTTTGGACACTTTTGAACATTTTTGAACAAATAAATAAATTAAATTTGTTCAAAATTTTATTAAATTAATCTATTTTAACTTTCTAAATAAAAATATTCAGTACTATAAAAAATATATAATTATATATTTTTTAAATTAATATATTAATTTTTAAAACTTATATATGCTATGGATATTCTTGAATATTTGAATATTTGAATGTTGAACATGATTAAAAAAAATCTTGGACATAGTAGATATGACAACACTGCCTGTTTGAGTCCTAGTTTGGGTGCCTTTTCTATATCTATTTGGATCCTCAGTTCTATATTAATAGTATATACTAATGTTGTGCTATCTTTTATGATCTTCTTGATTGCCAAAGTTGAGACATATAATATTGAATTGGTTTAAGCTTTACTGTTTTCATATTTTTTTTTTTTGTATTCTTTTAAGTTTTTTTGCTTTTTTAATTTTTTTCTTACCTATTGATAATAATAACTCAAAACATAATTTCTTTATTTATTATATATATTTCTACTTTGAGTTACTACTAAATTTATATTCTATTTTTCACTTTTGCATTTCTAAAACTCTTTTTTGCTTATCTGTGATAGTATCCCAAGTTCTGGTTTTTTATTTTTTTTCCTATATATTATTCTAACTTAAGATACTACCAAATTCATATTCTATTTTATGCTTCTGCCTTTCTAAAACTCTTTCTTGTATAGTTGCTATTTCAGGATACTTTTGGTTATTACTGCATTGATTATTTTTGGATACTATCATATTAATTACTTTTAGATACTATCACTACTAATCTAATAATCAGTCTTTATAAGCCTGATAAGTTTAATATAATAATATTTCTAAAAAAAAGAGGCTCTACACTAATGTATTGGAATATTTATCTAGTAAACAAAATAAGATGAAGAAGCATTTTGCTTCTTTAAAAGAAAAAAAAAAGATATAAATCTGATAATAAGTTTAATGAATAAAGGTTTATCATTATTAGAGGTTAATAAGTAAGTTTTGGAAAATATAAAGAAAGAAAAACATATTGGTATTACTAAAATTTTATATTATTTTATTAATAAGAAAAAATATGTAGAATATGAATTTATAATAAAATACTATTCTGTTTGTTTTAACTGATTTTATTTAAATGTAAAACAATATGTTTTTAAGATATATATGAATATATTTTATAGGACTGCTGAAAAGAGTAAATCTTCTTTCTTCTTGTGTGAACTTGCTAGGGATGTTATATCAGCTAGATAGAGAAATATTAAACTTGTGATTTTGTTAAAAACAAGATGTTCAGAATAAAATATAGTAACACTAATTCCTTATATTTTGTCTGTTTAGAAAAATGCTTTTAGAAATGTAACAAGGCTTATAATAATAGCAAGATCTAAAAAAAAAATATTGGTCTTGAATAGTAAAAATATTTATAGAAAAAATGAAAAAGCTTTACAATGAAGTTAATGACTTCCTCATGAAAAATAACAGATCATCTTATCTTAAAATGGCATATGAAAAAGTTTTATTTCTAGTAACATTTACTGGAAAAAAAAATACTTTGGCATTCTACATATAAGTAAGCCAAACTTTAATAATAACTTTTTTATTTAGGAAGTTAAAATTATAAACCAGGAGCAGTCTAGTCTTTTCTGTAAAATAGGAAAACATATTATAGAAAAATCTACTAGAGTAAATAATATATATACCTTGCATCAGATTGTGGAGAATGTATTCATAAAAATGGTAAATAGTATTTTACAAATAAATCTTAATAAAATAATTAAAACAGCTGTGTAAAAGCTCAATAAAAATAACAAAAATGTACAGTGTTTTATTGCACAAATGCAAGATAAACATACCTATAAAGAAGCAGACATTAAATGGTTTATAAAAAAGGATTTAGTACCTGAGCCTTATCTTTATATAATTCTAGAACCAGATGAACATTTTGAATATATTGTAGTTAAGAATGATTTATCACAGAGGATAGGTAATAAAATGGAAGTTCCAGAGATTATAAGGTGATTAGATAAAAAGATTGATTTTAGTTATTATCTGAAAACTGTTGTCAGCCTTTGTATATATTTTATTAACTATGATGAAAGACATCAGTCATTATCTGAAATTGTACTAGAGGTCTTAAAAAAGTTAAAAGATGGTAATAAAGTAGTTAACAGTAAAGCAGATAATAGTGAAGTAGATGAAGATAACCTGAATGAAAACAAAGAAAATAAAGATGAAATAGATGAAAATGTGGTATCAAAAATAAGAGATGCATTAGTATAGAAATCAGCTAAAAAATGAATTGGTAAGTATATTAAAAATCTACATGAAGGTCTGAAAAAAAATGAAGCTATAATATCTCATCTATGAAAAAAAGTTAGCACTTATACTAAAAAATTATTTGATATTACTTATACTAACAAGAAAGAACACCTAACTAATAATACTTATTACTAATTCTTTTTTAATATGCTAGATAAGCAAGAAGAATCTATCTGCTTAGAACTTTTATTATTGTTTAAAGAAATTTTTAAGATTAATATAAGGTATAGAGAAAGTATATATAAATTAATTATTAAGAAATAAGCAATGTTCTTAGAATAATATTTAACATTATATTATTTAAATAAGTGTAAGCTGCTAGCAGATTTCTGAAACATATAATAAAAAGTAGTTGGCCTAGAAATTACATGCTACTGAATATTATCGAAATTACAGAATAGTAAAAAAAATAATTTGTCTAGAGCAGATATAGATGAGATTATTAAATTATATTATTAAGTATTCTAGCAAAGGTGTAGAAATTTCAGCTAAGAAAACTTAGTTTCAAAGAAATGTTTCATATAATATTATTTATTTTTTTTATACAATAATACTGGCTAAATTTAATTTCTATCTCTGATCTGGTCACAAGATAACCTCTTTTGATCTGGTTCTCTAATTATACAGTTTAGCTTATCTGGTATCTTTGATATCTCTTTTCTATATCTGACTTTTTCTTTTAGCATAACACTCTCCAAATTCTGTAGCTTTTTCACAATAACTAACTATATAGTTATAATTAATAGAAAAAACAATATTAAGCAAATAAGTATCAATAATAGTAATTTGTCTATATTGATAGAGTTCCTAACACTATTTAATGAAATTTTTTTTTTTAGAAATAGTAGCAGTTATAATTTGTTCTGAAAAGTACTAGAGCTTTTTGGCTTATTATTTTTTTTACTGCTACTTTTTACATATAAATCAGTTCTTTCAGGACAATCTGGCTGATTATTCTTATTAAAATATCTCAAAGATAATGAATTAATCACAAATTGAAGTAATTTCACTTTCTTTAATTTTGCATAACATTTAGCTTTATATTTAGTAAGAGATGTCTTCATGCAAACATATTGAGAAAAAAGTTTAGAATTTTCAACTTTCAACTATCTGGTCTCATCATTAATTTTTATATATTTATTTTGTAATTTAGTATTATAGTCTCGTATCTTGGATGAGTCTTGTAAGATGCAACATATCTTATTTCCAAGATTATATATTCCTATTATTTACATTAGCCATAAATATGTAAAAAAAACTTTGAAATTTTATGTTAGTAAATAATTACAATAAATAAAAAATAAACACAAAGGTTATCAATCATTTTTGTTATTATTTTAGATAGTGTATTGGAATGTATTTACTCACCTAAAACAATAAATTATGCTTTCTAACATTACCTTTTATTTTAAAATAATAAATATTGAATTCTAATTTTTGTTATCTATCTAAAATGATAAATATTAATGTCTAATATTTTTTACATATCTAAATACATGATCTAAAAATATTAAAAGATTATGTTTACCTTAATTTTAAAAACTTATTATTATCGAGGTGCCAATATTTTAATACTCAAGCAGATTGAAGAAATTAAACATCTTAAAAATAAAGTTTTAGTATATATAGTATAATAGTAAAGAAGTACTATATTAATAAAAATCATGTTCATAATATATAGAATAATTGTGAGTGTTTATAACAAAATAGAAAGCACTTTTTTAAAGAGCTCAGAAAGTACAATCTATCTTATCAGTTCCTCTTTTAGAGAATGACCCTCAAGAAAAAAAAAACAATTATTTAATTATAGGATCTTTAAAGTTGTTAGACAAGTCAATTACAGAGAATTATTTAGTTCATCTAGAACCTTTTTATTTTCTAAGTCTATTGAAACAGATAGGTTTCTCTTGGATCATATATAGAAAAAGCAAAAAAGGAAAAAGAAGTCATCAAAACCCAAATCTGTTCAAAGTTATGACTTATCTGAGATTTCAACCAAAGGCTCTTGCCAAAATTTTTTACTAGCCATTTTGTATAATCTAATTGCTTCAATTGAAAAAAATCATATTAAAGTAGAAGAAGCTATATGCAAATCAGAAAAATATCTAGCTTATAACTAATCTTTTAGCCTATTATATTTAACAAAAGTATTTTACTAATATTTAATATAAAAAAAGAAATCAGAGATTTTTATTTATATCAATTAATTTAGCTTCAGAAATAAGAGTGATATATAATATTTTTTCAAGCTCCTCATAACCTATATGTTTTTTTTAAATACATCATTCATATTTAAGTTCTGCAAGTCATGTAAAATATATTCTGAAGGTGTAGACTTCTTACTCTGTAGTACAATATTAGTACAATTTATCAGAAGTTTGTTTTTAACCTTGTGTATAGTTATCAGAATAATATAGTCTTTTCTATTAAGAGAAATCTTTAGTTTATTGATTTTTCAATCCAATGCATAATTGTATTTCTTTAAAATTTAGTTAAAAAATATTAACATTAGCTTGTAGTATCTTACAACAATAAAATCTTTATAAATAATACAACTTGGAGCTAAAGTAATGAGCAAATTATAGATGACCCCAATAGATTCAACTGAAATAGTAGCAATATCACTAAGAACATGTGTTTCAGATTTATTAATTTTAACTCCAACATGTTTAATGATATTTTCTGTTATAATAGAAGGTTCAGCACCAGAATCAAGAGTCATAGCAGAGATTTTTAAGCACTTGATTTTATATTTTACTGTTACAATGCTTGTAAATGGCTTCTTTTTCTTAATGAAATCGATTTCTATCAGACCATCCAAATAGTCTTTTTTCTCTAAACTGAATTTATCTAAAATTGGATCTTTAAAAAATAATAGGATGTTGTTTAAATATTTTATCTTCTTCTTTATGAGAGCTTTTTGTTTGAATACAATAGGATTAGAATCTTGAGAAAATTGTAAAAAAAAAATTAATTTAAGTTCACTTTGGAGAATTTTACAAATAGTTTTTTTTTTTTTTTTTTTTTTAGTTAAAGTCCCTATCTTGAAAGTTGCGATTTTTTTTATTCAAATATATTAGGACATGGCATGCCACCAAGGGCTCACCTTACATTAAAGGTTACAACTAGCCACACGTGCACTTTTGGTGTCTAATTTAAGTAGTTTGCTTACACCTTACTATATAAGTTCTACACTAGTTGCCATATCTGCAAGCCAACTAGGGGCCTTGCCTATTTAAACCCTCTGTATATGCAATCCTCCTTGTATCATGGGAACATCTCAAGGCGCCGCCCATCCAAGTTCCCGATGCTTATTGGTCTTCTTAGAACTACTTTATCCTCGATAGGAAACTTACTAGAGCCTTTATGTCCCACACATTTAGACCTAGTTTTATGCAATATGCTATAGTTATCTAACACTTGCAGTCACAGGGGTTACCTGTTTAACCGCTATGTTATACTATTTCTACCCTTGTAAAGTTCATTAGAACCCCAGTACCCATCTTTCTGGCATCTTCTCTATCATCCCTTACTAGCCACAACTCAGAACTGTCGGTCTCATTTATCCAGACTACCAATTTGTATAGTAATTTATGTACTCGATAATAAGAATATTAATAATAAAAATAATAAAAATAACTTCAATGTTGCGAAAAGATTTTGTTGTAAAATAATAATATATAACAAATGAAATTGCTAAAATATATTTTTTCCAAAGAATTATTATAGGGTGTATAATAAATTTAAAAAGCTGTTGTATAAAAGGCAAATCTTTAATATTTCATATATTTTTTATTATATTTAAATAATATGCTGGAATTATTTTGACTATGAATCCAATTGCAAAATTCGAAAAATAATTGTTTACAGAATCAGAAAAATTTTTAAAATTGCTATTCTTGTAATAATTTAATTCTTCAAGCAATTCGCTGTTTATAATCGATAAAGCAGTTATTTTTTTTTTGTCATCTTGTATAGAATTAATTTTTTTCAGAATCAAATTCTCTTTGTTTCAAAGTTGTTGAAGTTGGTTCATTTTCTGTTAGATTAAGTTTTTCAAAAATATTATTTAAAATTCTTTCATGTTCTTTAATTAATATATCTTTTTCTTTTATTTGTTTTTGTTGAGTTACGATTGTTAACTCGTATTGTTTATTTGTTTCTGATATTTGATTATAATTTTCTGTTAATTGCAAATTATTGGTATTAATATTTTCTATAATTAGCTCTTTATTGATTATTCGATTTTTTAAGTCTTGATTTTCACTTTTCAAATTGTCATTTTCAGTTTGTAATATATCAATTTCATTTATAATATTTTGTTCTTTTGTTAGTAAATTAGACATTTTTTTATACTTTTTAATAATCTTAGATTGTATTTATAGTTTTTTAATATGGAATAAAAATTAATAAATTGTAATAAACTATAAAAGGTATGGAAAAAAATTATAAATACGAAAATATTTATAATTTGATATGTAAAAAAATGACTCAAACTGAAAGAACAAACTGTATGAAATGCTGAAAACTTCATAAATCATGCATTCAATCAGATAATGATCCTACAAAATGTCAATATTGCTATGAAAGAAATCTTGATTGTATATATTTTAAACCAAATAAAATTGAAGAAGAAATTGTTAGATTATATAAACTAGTAAAGAAATGTAACGAGCAAATTCTTTTGCTTCAAAAACAACTATTACATTATGAATTAATTAAACAAAATTTGAAGCAGATTAATACACTTATTAATTTTGATAACATGTAATTTTTTTTGTTCCTTTAATAAAAATATAATTTATTTATAATATATATATAATATTTTAATAAAAATATAATAAATAACTAACTAAATAATATATAAAATATATTCTATTCTGCTTTTTGTTTTTGCTTTTTTCGTGATTTAGTATAATTTGAATCATCAGAATTAATATCAGATTCAGATTCATCATTTAATAAAAAATTAATATTTCTTTTGTTTGAACCTAACAAATTAGTTGATTCATTATTACTATCATTTGAATTTTGAAATTCCTGTTTATAATCAGATAACTCTTTATATTGAGGATAAGCATGTAAGTATTTTTTTTAAATTCAGGAAAATGTCTATGCCAATAAACTTGTCTATCTTTGATTATTACTTCTCCTGGTTCATTCTTATTTAATTTTTTTACCTTTTCAACTGTTTCTTCTATTGTATATTCACCTTTATCATATTTTAAATCCCAAATCATATTTTGAAAATCTTGTTCATTTCCTTTATGAAAGTAAATTTGTGTTGTTCGTTTTTCAATATCATCATCTCATTTTCCTATGAATTCAATTATATAATCAAGTCTTCTTTCAAATTGTCTCCAATCTCTTTGAACTGTATCTTCTGTTCCTTGTCTTTCAAAATTGAATGCTTCATTCAGTGGTTTTCGTGATGTCATAAAAATATACTTAGCAAGAAATGGTTTAAATCCTTTTCTTTTTATTTCAACTTCTTTTGGTATATCATTCAAATAATTTGTAATATCATTCCAATCAATTTTGGTATACCATTCATCAAGAAAAACTATTGATTGATTTGTATATCCATCCTACTAAAATATAAAAAAAAATTAATTTTATATAATTTTAAAGATTAAAAAAAATAATAATATAAATAATTTACCCAATTACTGCCTGAGCATTGTTTTTTCTTTTTCAAATAAAATTCTGAACTAAATAATTTTTGCACAAGATTTGACTTTCTTGCACCACCCTGACCGAAAAAATAAAATGTAACAAGACACCAAAATCTTTGAATATTTTTTTTATTGATTTTTTTAACAGCTTTTCTAATTAAGTAAATATTTTGAGGATTATTGACAAGCCATTGAGGATTATTTTCAGCATGTTTTACAATAACTTCATCTCTTGACATATCATTATCAATAATATCTTCCATTATTTCTTTTGCTTTTTTGAGTGTTTCTGCTGTATCAATACATTTAGATGCATCAAATATAAAATGAAATGGTCCACAAATTTCTGGATCAGTACTGATTCATGCTGAAGGTCTTTTACATTCTAAATTACATTTTAAACATCTATCTGATGAATTTTTAAAATTACATTTATAAGGGTGATGTTTTGGATCTTTGCATCTGTCAAAATCTTTATCAATATAAGCAAAACACTCTTCTTTAGATCTATTTGCATAAAATACATGTAGATTCACTTTGAAAATTTCTTTGATTCCAGATCCAGATTTAGTTTGAGAATCATAATTGCCAAGTCGTTGTTGACTTCTTAATTCACACCAACCTTGAGCATGATATTTGTTTGGTTTTTTAGAATTATTATTTGGTTCAAATTTAAAATATACTTCTTTTAGTTTGCATGATTGTTTTTTAAAAAGTTGTTCTAAATATTTTTTAATAATATCTAATCTTTTATATAAAACAAAATTAAATCTACGAAATCTAGTTTCTGAAGTTATTTTAGAATTTGATGAAGACATTTTTATTTTATATAAAAAAAATTCTAACAGGTATTAAAATACTTGTTAGAAATTATATTTATTTCATAAAATAATAAAAAATCATCACTTAAAAATCCTATTTTACAAGATATTTTGTTAGAAAAATGTATAAAGTCATTTTATGAAACTATAGGTTTTTTGATGTGTTCTATATTTTTATTAATGACATAAAGTCGATTAGCTTAATAAAATTTTATGTAAAATGTAATTTTTGTACTGATGGCGATTTAAAAACAAATGATCTGCAAAGATAATATGAAAATTATTTTGTCAAAAATTAAACTAATTTCATGAATATAAATCTGTTTGACTTGAAATTTAATATTTGAATTAATGAATATCATCTGCACCAACTTTATTAGTATCGTACAGCATATTTTCTTTGAATGAAATGGTCAAATTAACAAAAACAGTTCTGTAAACTTTAAAGAAAAATTTTTGTCAGTAATTTTTGAACGAAAAAATACTATATCTCCATGAATTCTTGATGAAACAAGTTCATATTTTAAAAGAAAAATTTTATACACTTACTCTATCAATTATCTTAATACATAGTATGAGGTTTAAAATTAAAATAAAAAATGATGATCTTAATTGATTATTGTTTTCATCAAAGACGAAAATTCGTCTACGAAACAAAATAGAAAAACATTAATATCTTCATGAATATTGATTCTAAAAATCTAAAATTTAATATATTAATAGATGAAAGCATGTTTAACAACTTTATTTAGAAGCATAAAATAGGTTTAGAATAAGAAAAATTAATCCGCAGCTAATTACGATTAGATATTTGTTAAAAAAAATTCAGATGTGTTTTTTAAAAGAAAAATCATTATTATTCAACGAGTTTTCAAGTAATAATTACAAAAATAGAGATTCTAGTACTTCTTATTATGCTGAGCAACTTTAATTAAGACTATAAAAATACTTAACATAGTACGGTTCTGTGTAAATTAGCATCGAAATTATATTATTCTTTAAACAAGAAATATAATTTCTATAAGAACAGCTTGTAAAGCTCTGGTTCTTGGTCTGAATAAAATTTTTTATTCAGTTTGAGATGTCACTGAGACACTGAGATAAATCTTGTGTCTATTTATATTTTTTTAATTTTGTGGCACAGTAGCTGTGACAGATTTTTTGTCTCAAAATTAATATATAATTTGTCTCAAATTTACTATGAGACAGTACTATGAGACAAGCTTATGTGACAGATTACTAAATAACTATTACTGTGCCTCATTTGTAGATCATTTATTATATGTATAGATGTATTTAATTTTACTTATACATTATATTATATGATATATATACTGAACCAATGATTATACTAAAAATAAATAGTTAGAATTATTAAGATTTAAGTTAGCATTATTAGAAATATTAGTAGTAGGGGGTTGGTTAGAGATGGAGTTAGTATTAGTAGTTGTGATAAAGAAAAAATTAATAAGATCAGAAGAAGTTGAGATTTGGTAGGAAGAGGTAGTAAAAGAATTGGTAGTTTGAGAAGATTCATATAGGATGTTTTGGAAGGTTTGAGTAAGATTTTTCTTAGTTTGAAATAAGCTAGCTTCATGTTGAGATGAGGCAGTCATGCAGTTAAGATGGTAGACTTCATTGTTTTTAGTAACATATTTTTCATTAGAATAGTGTCAGTCATTTTTCTTAGTACAACCAATAGAAAGAGAACATTTGGGACAGGTATGGTAATATACATCAGGAGTAGAAGATAAAGGAATATTGTCAATTGAAGAGAAGAGATTAGTTAGGAGTTGTTGAGCTGGTTTGTTAAGATTCTTTTTTGTATTACTATTAACATGAACTGTAGTAAATCCAGTAGCTTGAGTATAGTTGGTATTAGAAGTTGAGATAAATTTGGTATAATATTTGTCACAGAGACAAGTAATTACAGAAATGAAAGTGAAAACTTGAAAAAAATAGATAATTTTGTTGTTTTTAAGATTTTTAATTAGACAAGAAGTTGGTTTGACTTTAGGAGAAATTGGACGAGCATTGTTGCCATTTTCTTCTTTATAAAGAGCAATTCCAAAACTGTTAGAGAAGTTTTAGTAGAAGAAATCAAGGTCTGCAGTATCAGGATCTTGGTTATTTAATGTAGATATTTTTTAAATTTGTTATAAATTAGATGAGTATTATATTAGAAACTTAGAAAGATTTCTAATAGTTGAGTAGTTGATTTTACAAAGGTAATATATGAGAACAAGGATTGTATAATTGAGGTATTACAGAAGTAACACTGGTGTGTGACTAGAATAATTAGGGTTACAAATATAACTCGAGTACTGGTACAATTAAAGTTTGTAATACAAATTGTTATGTAAAATTGATAAGAACTAAATATGGAAATAGCTAATTGTGTTCAATGAATTTCTATTAATAGATGGATTACAAAATTCTGATGTAAATTAATAAAATATATATTGGGAAATAATAGTATGGTTACATGAAATTTGTGTAAGAGAAAAAGAGAATAGTGTAAGGACAAAGATAGAAAAAAAAGTTTTACAAGAGAATAAAAGGTGAGTTTAGCTATAGTTCTGTCAATATTGAGTCAAAATTCTTCTTTTAGAGCTTGTTTTGATCAGATAAATGTGTACTACAACTTTAATTAAAGGTATAAGACAAGTTATTGTAGTAAAAACTGTGAGAGAGTTAATTTTTTAAAATTAAGAGCTAAAGGTCATCAGTACAGTTTTCTCTATGAGTTTAAGAGCTAGATCTATAATATTTTCAGAGTATATATAAATCACTAAGCTGAACAAGTTTACTTAAGACACCAGAACAGATTGTCTTAGTAAATTAAAAGTTATGAACATTTTTAGACGGACAGTTTTTTTAGTTAATTTTTGTGTAATAGATTTGTAGATAGAGTTTTTTTATTTTTCTATATACCTTATTTCTTATATTTGCAACTTTATATATTGTCATTGTTTCTTTTACATAATTTTGTATTTTTACTTGTTTTTCATATACCTGTTCTAAATTTGTGATCATTTCTATTCTTTCTTTTTCTTTGTACCCTATTTTATCTTTATCTAATTTAGATTTTTTGTTTATCTTTATGTTATTGGCTGTGTTTTCCTGCTGATTATTTTCTTTTGTTTTATTTTTACTTTCTTTTTTATTCATTTTTAATAAATTTTCTTTGTCTGCTTTTCTAGTATACCATAATCTGTACAACTATATTCTTGCTCTAGTAATATCTCTTTATTTTTTTTTATTTAATTGCTCTGTATTACTTTTACTTATTTTCTTACTATCTCTTATTTATATATATTTATAGTAGTTATATACTTCTATTAAGTTTCTAAATACACAGATTAAAACTGCCTCAGTGCCAACAAGTTTAGCTAATTCTTTATCTTTTTATAGAATTTTTAATTTATGATTTTCTAATATTTTTTTTTATACTTTATCAGACTTGTTAAACATATTTCAATACTTTTCTAATTTCTTATACCAATTGATTTCTATAGATATTAATTAAACTTTTTGTATTATACTTCTTTGTATTATTTTGATACCTTTATTGAATATATTCAATATATGATTTACTATTTACGTTTGTGTTTATTTGTTTGTCTATAAGATTATGTATCTATTTATTTGTTTTATTGTGTTTACTGTTTATCTTAACTTGTTTTATGTATTATATATATAATCTGCAATATAAAGTTTTTATGTTTTTCCTTTTTTTATTAAAAATTTTCTATCAAAAAAAATCTATTCTAAAAAACCCAAATAACTACTATACTATTATTAACTTTGGTTACTATTTTAACAAATTATATCTAATTTTTTAATAGCTTTAAGTTTGCTTAGTTGACAATAATACTTTTACTTGCTGATTCTTGTGATTTTTATAATTTTCTTCCTGCTTTGATTTTGATTATGAAAATTAGCAAAAAGAGTTTTTTGTTTATAAATTTGTAAATTGATAAAAAAAAATATTTAATTAAAATATAATAAAGTTATTTTTAGAGGTGTGGCGACCAAGTGAAATAGTCAGGTTGTCAACTTTCCAAGTGGTAGATTGGGTGTTCAAATCCCATTAATAGTGAAAATTTGAATAATCGCCTATATAATATTTATATTATAACAACTGTTACTAATGATTGGGTTAGGATACCTGTAATAGTAGTTGTACCAGTATGACTGGCAGGTTATAGAACATCTGTGTAAGTATAACATTATATAGAGGAATACAAACCAACAAATCAGACAATGCAAACACTAAATAAATTCTTGTGATCATATAAATCTGTTGAAATTAGATAACAAGAAGTTCATTTGAGAAGACCTGAGTAAAGAGATAGCTGGATCTTTGACAACTCTACTATAAAGACTAACTCGGGAAAACAGATACCAAAGTCATAATACCTGGTCATAGTAGTCAGATGGGCAAGAAGTTCTGAGTTGGGAGTCTCGAAAATACCACCAACTAGGCCATCAGAACAAACTGAAAAAAAGGATATCAGGTCAATCCAATATACTAATGAACTGGTCATAGTCCTATATGAATTATCTGAATTGGGAGTTTGGTAAAAAGGCAGATAAAAAGACAGAGATATACTAAAGTACTAGGATTATGTTGTGAAGTAGATGTTGGAATCTAAGTAAACTCTACAAGAACATAGCAGTTTAATGATTAATCCTAACCACAAGTATTAGTTCTGTTATAGCAATATCTAGATCAACTATAAAAATGGATATAGAAGGCTCTAAGGAGTTTATCTCAAGAATAAATTAGTTCTAAGGTTGAGATAATGATCTGAATATCTGAGTATAACCCAGTGAGTTAATACAGGTTATAGATTTAGAGGGTTTAAAGTAGAATATCCAAGCAAGGGTATTAGGTATAGCAATTAGTAGAGAACCTTTAGGTGGACTTCTTAAATTGATAATATAGAAAAGTTACACATATAGCCAATTGTAATCTTTTCTGTAGTAGTTTATTGAATTACAATACTGATAAGTAATTAATAAAAGTCAAAAGATCAAAAAGATCATCTTAATACCAAAAAAAAAAAAATTTTATTTTTAAACTTTAATATTATAGTATATATAATTCTAAAAATATAGTTTAAAATAACAAACATTAGATTTAATATTATTAATAAGCTTTTTAATTTATTTTATAAAATATGATGTATTAGAAGTGATGATATAATCTATATAACAGATCATTACAGTGACAGGTCACTGACAACCCTATATGATTGACCAATCAAAATTAAGCATGTGACTATTTAATAAGTTGTTTACTATATATTGACCAACTAAAATTAACTAAATTTTAAATTTTATTATTTGATGCTATTTTTGCTAAAAGCATGTAACATATAATTAATGTTAAGATTAAGTTAAATTAATTAAATTGTGTTTTATATTACCTTTTTATCTTCTAAAAAAATAAAAAAAAAATAAATAAAAAAAAAAGATAAAAAAGAAAAAAAAAAGAAAAGAGAGAAGAGGAGAAAAAGAGAGTTTTATTGTATTATATATATGATTTTTTTTTTTATTACTGTAAGGTGAAAGACTTTAAAGAGGAAGAAGGTAATGTAAAACACAGAATTTAATTGGTCTAACCTTAGAGTTAGAAATAGAATAATAAATATCTATAGTAAAATTTGGCTAGGATTTTTTTATTAAGAACGTAAAAAGCGATTTCTTTGACAAAACTGTCCTAGCGTTACCAGCCTAAAAAATTTCGCTAAAAAAATTTTACTGTTAGGTTTCGCTATTAATTTAGGTTAGAGTTTTGTTAATGCGCAGAAGGTGGCTTCATAGGTAAAAAGTTTGAGTTATGAACGATTTTTTGGTTTGTTTGCGTTTCTTCTGCGTAGCACCTGATCTTGAAATCAGATTGGCCAGCGAATTTTTTAGGTTGGTAATGCTAGGACAGTTCTTTGAAAAAATCTTCGATTTCACGTTACATAAAGATTGCACGATTCATTGCTATATAGAAAATTTTCCTTTTTGGGTTTGTATCACTTGCAGAAATAAGTGTACGTCGAGTATACGTATAAACGTAAATAAATATTAAATTTGTATTTGTAAATATTTACTTATGGTTGATCCTGAAGGGTAGCCTAATTAAAATATTTCATATTTGTAGATATTTGTAAAAATTAAATTTAAAAATACAATGTACAATAAAAATTTAAAATTAACTAAAAATGTTAATTCTCAAAAAATATTGTAAGAATAATATATAAGATGCTGCTAGTGAAGATATAATAATCAAAAATAGTTTAGGTGAATATTTCATTAGTGACAGAACTTAAGATTACACTTGTCATTAAGTTTTCTGACTCTAAGAAATGAAGAGGGAATGTAACTAAATGTCCTCGAATCTTGTCCAACTTTGCTTTTACATCATAGTTATTTGAAATTGCTACATGTCCTTTATCAACAATTGCTGGATTTGGTACAAAATTCTCGTATTCGCTCCAATTAGTGACTTTATAAATTAATGATAACAATGTTATTATAAGTGTAATAGAAAATAAATAAAATAAAAATAAAACATACCATTATCATCAGGGATACATTTAAAAACTGATCTATAAATAGCAGTATTATCTTGTGCAACTTTTTGCCAATAAGTATAAAATTCGTCAGACAACGGATCCATAACAATCAAGTCTTCCTTTGTAAGATGATTAGGCTCTGAACTGGTCATTAATTCATCCAATATTGGTATGGATAAAGGATCCCTATCATTCAATAGTTCCTTTAATACGTCAGGCTGAACCGGAGCTAAACTGCTTTCGGTAATTGTTGCATGATCTTGAGGTTTCAAACGACCTAAAAATTCCTTGAAAAGGTTGCTGCGTAACGTATATGCAAATTTCGATGCTTCATACTAAAAAGAATCAATGATTATTGTTTACATATATATGCAGACAATGAAATTTTGATTTTTAAGAATAAATAAAACCTTTTGTCCATTCATGCGTGATGGAACAGTTTGCTTGTCCTCGACAAGGATTGCTATTTCTGAATCACGATGGCCTAGTTGTGATCTGTCATTTAAATTGGCTATTTAAAAACAATTATTAAATGCTATCATATTAATTATATTATTCTAATTTTATAAATTTGGAAATAGTTTTCTAACAAACCTGAACCAATAATAACATATTTATCGTCAACAATCATCATTTTGCTATGAATATATATCTCTTCTGAAATATAAGAACACTTTGGATCTAAATCTATCATGCTAGCAGGCATGCCCGGCTCGCCTCCGATTCCTTTTAAAGAAGACTCCGTTTGTTCATCAGAATATGAATCTGTACTAATATTATTATGTGATGGCTGCGATTCATCTAAGATTTCATTCTGCTTGTCTTTAATAGAACCATTAGGTACGCTACCATTGTATTCCTTATGTTTAATTTTGTCATAGCCACGCAATGCGAAAAATGATATGTAGTTTTCCGGATCTATACCAGCTTGCCTTATTTTTTCTAATACAGATTTACCACCTCGACAAATTGAGACATATTGCCAGTGCATTACCATGCTATAAAAATAATATTATAAGAGTGTAAAATACAAATATTATAATGGTTTACTTTGTAAATAACAAATAAACAAATAAACAAACAAAATAAATAAATAAATAAATAATATGAATATATATTACCGAATTGTTCCGGCATCACTAGAATTTAAATCCGCCTCAAACCCGGGTAATAAAGGCATGACAACAATAATTCGGAATTTCTCACCGTCCTGATGTGCTTTTATTACACGTTCAACAATAGACTATTTTAAAAACTAATGAGTTAAAAGTTACATATTATTTTTAATTAATCACTTAGGAAATTTCACCTTGCCAATCCTGTTTTTAACAACATAATTTGGATCATCTTCTGTTGATGTAACTGATAGAAAGAAAAAATGGACAACGTTAATTAATATTGCATAACATAAAAAATAGCAAGGTTTTCAAATAATTTACCAAAGAATTGATTTTCAATATAAATATAGTGCTTAGCATTCCGAATTAAATGTTGATATGCGCTGTAGATAGAACTCTATACGAATTACATATGGTTAAAGTTAAGCTCGCTCTAATAAAATGTAGAATCGCTAAAAAAAAAAAAAAAAAAAAAAAAAAAAAAGCTAGATGTGTAGCACATCATATTCCTTACCTCGACTTCAATTCCCATACTCCAGACTGCACTACTACGTAAAATTTGAACTTCACAAGTTCCATTGAATCTGGATTCATCACGGGTGCTGACATATTCACCTTTCGGCAACAAAAATGGCAACGTTTCGCGTTCAAACGATTTTTTATCTTTGATGAAATTCCATCTTTGAACAAAATGCCGGGCAACGTCGCGAGCTGGTGTACCAACCTAATAATCATAACTAACTATTAATTGCAATCAATAAAGGAAATCATAAAAGTGATAAACTTGCCATGCCGATGGAAACATCGTGCCAGGGCATACGTGGGTAACGAGATTTATCGATTATTTCATTCTGATGATCAGTGACTATTGATTTTAAATTGTTATAAATTAATGAAAGTGAACGTATGTAACAATTATATTTATTGTCGTTCAATAAACCATTCAAACCCTTACCATTTTGAAAATCTTTTATTCTTGGATTTGAAAAATCTTGACCGGGCCATATTGTTGGGCCTTTCGTATTTTGAGGCCAGTCAGATAGGTCATGAGAATGAGTATCATAACGTCCAAAACATAAATCTAAACCACCAATAAATGCTATACGACTGTCAACCACTACCATTTTCTAAAAAATAACAAATTATGGTTAGCTAATAAGAATAATTCATAGCATGACTAATAATCATAATATTAAATTAGCCATTACCTCATGATGCTATGTAAATATTAATAGTATTAATAGTGATGTAATAAAGTTCATTATCAAATTGTATGAACAAAAAAGCTTAAAAAATCAACTTACTGCCCAGAATATTGTTCCTTCAATACCATGATCAGGATGTCTTTGTACTAAAAATTTTTACACATATGAATTAAAATAGAGATCATAAATATTACGAGCTCAATTTAATAAAAACCTTTAATATTTTTATGAAGACCCTGAAGGTAAAATTTGGTATGATGAGAATCCAAAGGTAAAGCAACAGTAACTTCTTTGTATACAATAATGTAAATCATCACGCCTTCTTCAGCCTTTTTTTTTAATAATTTATCTAGTCGAAACTCTTCGTTATCAGAAGGCGGCCGGCGAAGATACTGATTAATAAAATCTATAATTAGTATACATGAAAGAAAATTTTCAAAGTCTATTATTAAACAATTATTAAACAATTAAGGAACATCTCACCAATTCAGGAGACAGCCACCAATCTTCAATATAAATTTCGGATTTTGCAGTCAATAAAGCCTGTGACACAGCAAAGAAATAATCTTTGCCATCGACATACCATTGAACTTTTGCATTCGCTCTAATGGGAGCAAATGAATCGTGTCGATGTTGTTTAACCCATGGAGAAGCATTTTTAATAGTTTCAATACTATTCATAAAGTCCTTTAAAACGTATGAATCAGTTTTAATTTCAATTCTACGCGAACTATTTTTGATTTCAATATGCTCATGAAATTGTAACATATGAGAAAGTCCTTGATGAGTTAATTTATTGCATATAAAATGTTTATCTATAAGAAAAACATCCGAAGGGATCGTTGAACTAACGTTTGAACAAAAGGCAATATACCTAGTTGATCATGATAAAAATTATTAGGGATTATATAACAAAAAAAATATATATATATATCCATTAAAGCCAGACCTCCACAAATGCACTCATTATTAATGTAAATACTATCTAAATGCATGGTATAGCTTGGTTCCATTTATAAAAGATCCGTATAAAGTCAACTCTTTCTATAACGAACTGAAAATAAAGGTCGTTATAGAAAATTAGTGATTTCTTAAGGACCCATGGCACTTTCTATATCGAACTATCATGAAATTTTAAAATTTTGAGTTCGTTATATTCAGAGTCGACTGTATTTTGCTCTCATAAATGATACCTCCTCTAAGGACATTTTTGGCTATGGTCCCAAGGAAGTGCGTCTAGGGAGGTTTGGGTTCATATATATAAAAATTTATTTATTTATTATAGTAAGGATACGAATCGCGAACTATAATCCAACTTCGTTCCCACTTTTCGTTTGTAAATCTAAGCGAACAAATAGGATGTTTAAATCGTTCAACTTTGTGTTCCATATAACCTTCTTTACCTTTCCATCCCATATCTCTAGTAATTGAAATCGCACTAAGTTCCAGAAATTCGTAAAGTTCATAAGAAACAAGAAGATGCGACCATAATTCTTTTATCACACTAATTAAATATTGTTCTAATTCCTTTCGTCTCTCAAGAGCATCAGAACGACTTGAATCATTTGAATGAAGGATTTTAGATTTGAACCATTTTGAAATTCCGGAAGGGAATTTTGGTATCCAACGAGCAAATTCAGCTCTTCGTGTCAAATTAACATGAAGACTTATGAAATCAAAACCAGTTCGATTTAATACCCATTTAATATCACCGTATGCTAATTCGATTCGGAAAAGACTTAGCCAATTGTGTGATAGCGGATCTTTTTTAGAGTCAGTGATCGCAAGCTAAAGAAATTATGATTATAGGAGTTAATATATATAAATATATTTTTTTTTTTACTATCATATGAAAAAAAAGGAAGTCGACATACTTTCAGCATATCGATAATGACAGGAGGCTGGATTTCCGATATTCAAATGGTAATATAAGTTGAAAGTTGATAGAACGAAAATGACGATTCCTGAAATGTCTTGACGTTCTTATTACGAATTTTGACGAAAGAATGCCAGGAATACGTCACGACATAAATATATGTATAAAGAATTAATACCGCTTTACGCCCTTTATGATCTTTTCTTAACCATAAAAATGGTACAGCAGTTAACCATGTAGTAAAACCCTGACTATCACCAACTTCTTGTAATTGTCTACTATCACCCTTTGAAAATCTTAAGTTGACGGTTGCCATATTAATAGCATGGTGAAAACGTTTTCTCAAATTTTTTTTTCGTGTAGATTCTACATAGCATATTTATAGATTTAAAGTAAAAATGTATAATATATTATTTAATATATTATATAGGAAAACCTACCCTCTATCTCAGTTGTTTCTGGTGCTTCGTCTAATTCAGTTAATTCAGCTTGAGTAAAAATACGTTTTATATAGTCAGGATGTTCAGGACGCTGTTCTTCAATGTAAGGAGCCGATAACTGAGCTTCTGAGGGAGTTGTAGGTTCCTCAACTCGACGAGAACGAGAGCGAGAACGAGTAAGTTGACTTGGAGGAGAATCTTCACCAAGAATCGAATAAAAATAGGTCAACATAGTCTTTTGCCAAATCGGAATGTCGTCATTCTCTGGAGGACTTTGGTCAGCATTTAACAAAGCCAAAGTTTTTTTACTAAGGTTAACCGGTTCACCTGGTGTTTCCTTTGTTTCGGTACCATTTTGGTTATTATGATTATTAGAAGAAATACTGTCATCCATTTCAATGGAAAAGAAAAATTAATAATTGCATATCGATATCGATATCGATATATTTTTATTTTTATTAAAAAAATATATGATTGATTACATGTACTAGCATATAGATGCAACCAATCAAAAAGACAAATAAATTGGTATTTATACATTTTAAAGTACTACGGTAATAATAAAAAAAGATCACCACGAAGCTTTAATAAATGTTAATATTCACTGCAAAACTGGCTAGCTTAGAAGAATTATACAAGATTACTTTGAAAAAATGACTATAAAAATGACTATAAAAAATGACTATATGAGACATGAAAGATTTGACGATATTGACCATATCAGGGAATACTTCCATTAAAAATTGAAATTTTGGTTGGCTAATAAATTTCGCATGATAATAATTTACAATTTTGATTGGCTAAACCAATATGCATGATTGGGATCATCATTTCTGGACTACATTCCAACATTCATTTATTTATTTGACATCTGGGATCTTCGCTACGTAGGAAAATCAAAGTCACCTAACATAGTAAAATCATATGTCCTATGATCTACGTATGTACGTATATAGTCATTTTAAAATTGACTAAAATTGAATCATAGGAAAATCAAAGTCATTTGCAAACCTTGCTTAACAGTTATTTTCTGGGACCACCAGTGGCATATGTGGGAGATAACTAATACATAAGAAAAAAAAATTTTTTTTTTGTACGTATACGTAATAAACAGTGTAAATCTCTGTACGTAATGAGATGGCACTTACTAATTTTATTACACATCGATATTAAATCACACGACATATCGAATTGTCTAAATATAGTTATGTTTTTAAAAATAAATTATCGGGTTCTTATTTATATTTCTACATATACTAAGTTATTTGAATTATTAAAACTTGTTAAAAACAGAGAAAGTTTTATGAGTGCATTTTATGAAATACGTAACTTTAAAAAAATAGTATAGAAGTATAATAAGAATCGGTGAATAAATCAGTTATTATCGCAAAATGAACGTAGTATATACCAGTATATATAAAATTTAATTTAGACATTTCAATAGACATTTCGACACTATTTTGAATTTCGACATTAATTTGAAAAAGAATTGGTGAAATTTTAAGTGGTCTTTCTAAATTCATAATAAATATTCTTCGTATTCAGTATTACTATTTCGGCCAAAATAATAAGATTAGACAATTATTTACAATGTTTAAAACAGAGCTTGAATCCGTTATCCGTTTTCATATTAAATTTCGTGGGTATCCGACAGATTTTACTATTAAATTCAGTATCAAACGGATAACGGATCCAAGCTCTAGTTTCAATATTAATAGCAATTATTCTATTATACCATTAATTCATTGTTAAGTGGTAGATCGCATAAATTTCATAGTAAAAATCGGCGGAGATTTACTACGTATTACGTTCATATAATGTTGGAATGCCGAAAGTTTCTGGCAATATGTAAAAGTCATATAGTTATAAACAGTGTTGACACGAGACAGTTGTGGACATTTTTTGAACAAATAAATAAATTAAAATTACTCCAAATTTTATTAAGTTAAATCTAATTTAACTTTCTAATAAAAATATTCAGTACTATAAAAAATATATAATTATATATATTTTAAATTATATATTACTTGTATATGCTGTGGACATTCTTGGACATGGTCTAAAAAAGTCTTGGGCATAGTAGATATGACAACACTGGTCATAAAGGAGAAAATTCCAATAACTCGCGGTCTACCAAACCAATTTGAATAATTCTACCACTATTATAACCGGAATAGCTTGTTTTATAATCTTTGTTAGAAACTCAAGGAAAGAAGGTTTACTTGGCATAAAAAAAATCATTTCATTGTAAGCTAGCTGCATTCCAACCCTATAGAAAAACTATATTAAATTCCGACAATTTCTACTATTAAATTTACTATTTTTATACCTTTACTCGCGATTTACCTCTTAAATTAGTTTTGCATAAAAAAAAAGATGACGTTGCTAAGATTATTAGGTATTTCTATTATATGATTTAAAATGTAGAAACGAACGTACGTTATGTTCTGTCCAGTCCGGGTTTGGAAGAAAATTATACAGTTTCGAATTTTAATAATACGGGTACATAGCATTTTATAGACATTTTACAGACATCTTATTTCATAGGCAATCAATTTATAGATAAGTTTACATATTTTGAAAACAATCAACTTACAACAGTTCATTTTATACAGCTTATTTTACAAACAGTTCATTTCACAGACAATCATTAATAGTGATCTACTAGTCTTTTTTGCAAAACAATTATCTTGATTATTTTAGTAATTAAATTATTAGTAAATTTAAAGTTATTTACTATTAAATATTGTTTATACAAAATAAAACGTTTAATAATTTAAAAAAATCTACATCTACCGGTAAAAAACTCTTTCTCATACATCACCAAAATAGCCCTAGTTAGGGTTCCAACCTATTAGTAATAAAAATATCCTGATCCGTTGGGTATTAAGTTTCCGCTTGTACACATACAATCAGGGTATTTTTATTACTAACCATTTAACCAATTATCCGAATCAAAAAAATCACTACCTGGTTGTTATTTTTTTCAACCCAGTTTGATCATGCATATTGAACACTAATGTATATAAAGTTAAAAAAAGTATATACGATTAGGGGACTCGCAGATATTACGTAATATAATTTTAATAATAGGGTGACCCCCCTCCCCCCCACATAAGATATCTAATTTTAACCAATCAAAATAAGG